AMSGGGGATTGAAGCTTCCCATTTCAAAATAAAGAATAAGATATCTCAACCGTTGAGTTACGTAGCTGCTTTCTAACAATTGTTGGTTACAGATTTGAAAATTTTCGTGCTCCTTAATAATCACCGAATATAAATTCTAAATAATCACGTAGTTTTTCTCTAGTTCAATAATTCCTTCGTGAATAAAGAAAAATAAACAAAGATGCAGTGAATTGAAAAGTTTAATTTCCATTCATTTTGGGCCTTTGGATTATAATATTATAAACATGCTATAATGTATATTTCTATTAATTTGGGTTTTAATCTTTTCAAATTTTCAACTCTACCTCTAATACATTAAAAGTTCTCAAGGCCCATACATAAAAAGGAAAATCGGTAAAATTTGTTAACATATATACTTGGACACTTAACATGTTTGTTGGATAAAATTACACGTGTTCTAAATTAGTTTTAAAATCGATAAATCAAATTATGTCACACGTCTCTCTTATTGTCGTCCGATGAAATCAACTAATTTGATCAAAATACATGAAGAGACTGGGTCCAAGCTCATGACCCATTAAGCCCTCTATAAGCATTGGAGATTCAGAGCCTTCGAAACATTTAGAATCATCTACAACTATTCAGAGTGCGAAGCATCCAAAACCAACAAGAATCGAAGAACGAAAGACTTGAAGACTACAAGACTTCAAGAATTACGAATCTTCTCTTCGCCAAGCAACCGACCAAAGACTTCATCAAGCCACAAACTTCGTCAAGCATCAAGCTTCACAGTCGAAATTCAATACGCTAGAAGTTGAAGGCGCAAAGTCGTTGATTCGAGAACAAACTCACAAACCCTCAAATTAAAGTTCAGAAAATTAATCAAAGGATCATACATTAGAGATTGTAACACTACATATATTCAATACAAATACAAGTTCGTTCGAGTTTTCTCTTCCTTGAATTTCTCATCGAACAACATCATTTGAAATCAACGGACGGGTCAGATTTTTCCATCAAGCAAAGATTTTCATGTTCCAATCAACAACAAAGTAACATGTCTAACTTTTATTTTAAATTTTTTAGTACAACAAATGTGGAGTTTCAAGATTAGAACTTTCGATCATAGTAAATCATTTATAGCTTAACTTTGTTTTGTTTTGATGAGTAACATGTACTTGTCAACTTTTCATCTACCATTTTCTTTGTACCCAATTGAGAATTTGAAAGGTTTAAAATAGGATATATAAAAAAAGAAAAAAAAAAGAGATATTTTAATTAACATTACTTTTTGTATATATATATGATTTTTATTGGGCATTATTAAGGGTGGTTTTTGGTTAGACTAAAGATTCAGCGCATTTTTATGAGAGAGAGAGAGAGAGGGAGAGACAAAAACGGTGTCGTTGTCGTTGATTCTGCCACATCCTTTCTTGTCTGTTATGGTGGGCCCCGCGGTTCAAACACTTGTGGGACCCACTTTTCCCCTTTTTCTTTTTCTTTTTTTTTTCCTTATCTTATATATATATTTAAAAAAAAAAAAAACAAATTTAGACAAGTTGGCTTGGTTGGTGCACTTTTCTTGTCATCCCAACATTTTTGGATGGCCATCGCCAAAGTCATCTATCTCACCCCCCTCATTTCATCTCCACCGTCCGATCTCCCTCTCTCTCCCTCTAATGATGTCACAATAAATTAGACTAAATTATTTAGTTTTGTTCTATCTTTTTATTACAACAATATAATATATGAGAGTACAAATTCGAATTTATAATTTTTTAGTCGGATATATACATCTCTTTTTGAATAAAAGAAACGCTAAGTTATCTCATATTGAAACTAGACTTAGTTATGATATAGCTTAATTAAACAAGACAGTATTCTCAAAAAGATTATTTTAAGGATAGTCAATGATATTTTCGTTAGGTCCAGTTTAAAAGATGTCACCAAGAATTTTACATGATTTACTGAGAAAATAGTGTGCTTCGAATAAAAGAAATTGACTCAAATAAATACAAACTCTTGATGTGGTGAAGAATTTGAAAGAATGAACAACTGTCGAAGGAATAAGTTTAAATGAATTTTTTAACAAGGAAAATGATCATTGTCAAATATATGATACAGTCGTTCTAATATTGGTTAGACAGAGAAATTATGAGTATATAAGCAATAACAACATCTCCATCAATATTAAGCCACGCACGACCGAATTCAAAAGGCATAACATCTTGTCAAATATCCCAACAATAATTAAGTTCTAATCAAATCAAGAATTTGGAATTTATCACTATCAAAGTTTTTTTTTTCCTTATACATATTTGATAAATAGTGATGTTATGAAGTATGGTGTCTTTTGGTTGTTTGGTGATGTGTTGACCAATTTATGATGATTGCCCCACTACACAAAATACCAATTCCCTCCAAAATGGGGACCTGCCCTAATATTTGAATTGTAAGGTTACACATTAATACTTGTCACAAAAAGTGTCGCATAACAACCAATAATGATTTTTGGGCTACCATTTGAAAATAATTATATGCAACAAATCTTTGATTTTCCACAAATATATGCTTTCATTATTGTCTAGTTTTGTATCTCAAAAGGCTTTTGCCTTTTGGGTTACTTTTGTTTTTCTAATTTTATAATATAGGTTTAGAGCGTAGGTGTGTCGTGGTTCTTGAGTTTTCGTACATATTTGAAAGGTGAAATGTGGTCGATTTTTTTTATCTAAACCAATCTTTTAAGTCAAGTTTGTTAAGTTTTTGTTTTAATGTAACTTTTTTAGATGATGATTTGAAGTCTATATCTTCAATGCCAATTATAATTATGAAGTCACAAGTCAATTCCACAGCCCATAAAGTTTACTGTCAAGAAAATTTTGGTGAATTGCAATAAAAATAAATTTAAGGTTACATTACTTTCCAAACAAATATTGCATTAAATAAAAATAAAATCACTAAGGGTTACATTAGAAGAGGGGTGACCACACATCACCATCACTATCCACCAAGGAAAACAATTGTTCAAAAGGATATAGAAACGCTAAGAAATGACACATTTGACCAATAAAACAGCTTGTCACTAGGAATATGGATAAATTTTAGTCCACTGAACACCTTTTCAAAAATCATCGGAGAAGAATCCGAGATATCTTGTCAATTATGGTACCTCTATTCACAAATGGAACAGAAATAATTGTCTTCAAAGTTGTCTTATTCTCCCCCACGATTGTTAAAACAAAATGATTGAGTGTTTAATGAACAAAATAAAATATAAAAATTTAAACTTGTGACTTTCATCATTTTTTTTTTGTACAACCTTTTTTTAACCTCTTTTTTGTTTTATTTTGTTTTTAATGTTTGTTTTAGAGTAAAGTTTCTTTAATTGACCTTTAGCAAGATTCTTATGTTGTTTTGGAGTGGAACTTTGTTATATATATATATTTTAATAGAGACGAAATTTCAAATTTGTAGACGAAAACTTTGACTTAAAGCTGGGTGAAACCTTCCAACCTAATTCTTCAAAATTAGTCTACTATAATAAGTGGATGAAAATAGAAAACAAAAAGTGTCGCAGGTCAAAGAAAACAAAAAAGAGTCGACCTGCCTAAACAATATAATTCAAGTGATCGAACATTATCACTAATCTTTAAATATTGATGCGAATTGAAAGGTTGAGATCTCAATATAGAAATATCGATTGAAATATAGATGTTGATGGATATTTTTGGAATGATTATAAAAATAAAAATATATATATATATTTAAAAGAATGAAATTAACAAATAAGCACATTTCACAATTTCTAAATAATTTTAAAATGATTAATAATAATATAATGTTATATTTTGTAACTTTTTTTAATACTATGGATCCGTCAATTTATCCATCATGTTGATATTAAACCTATGGATAAATATTCATCACCTAATTCTCTTACAGTGAAAATAACTTTAGACTCTGGTATTACAATGACTTTAGATACTTTGGCATGTCCAAAACATCATCCATAAGAAGAAAAAAATAACTATTATCAATCTTCTAATAAATTGACATTTACACTTGAGTTTGTTAATTTACTATGGTGTGAAGATCATACATCAAACTCGCTGCTTGTTTGATGTAGAAATGAAGCTCCATTTTAGCGACTAGTATGTTGCAATAAATATTCTTTGTTTTTCAGAAATCCAGATGAAGAAAAATGAACTTGACATAGAAAATAGAGATCAGATARCACTCAAAATAAGAGAAAAGAAAAGAACAATGTTCGTCCTGATAGGACATGTACAAAAGGAAAAAGAATCGAGAATTGTGCTCCTTCCGTCTCCAAAATTGTAATTGATTTAATAGAATAGCTGGACCCATCCATGAATACAGAAATTACTTGCGTCAAGAATTATCTCCCAGACTCAAYCGATGACGATATTTCTCAACATGGTATTAAATCTACAAAACCCCTCATGAGGATATTTGAACTAAAAGGTCACATTTCCATAACTCTCAGCCTATAATATCATGTCGATATCTCAACACAAAACTCCATGACAAATCTAAATCGAATCATTAATTTGTTCACAAATCTCATCCTAGCAAATTTCTCTTTACAAGTCTCGACTTGGACTTACACATATATCATGATATTAAAGAGAAAACACCATTAACTGAAAAACAAATCTACCTGTAATAAAACACTAGTTAAACATCAAATAACTCAAGTATTTGTATTAGAAACTTAACACAGTTACATATTCATGATGGTATTGTTTCACAKGGTAAGAAGGATATTCAATCTTTGGATTGCAAAAACTTCAACATTCGACACGTAGAAATGTCAACATGTAGACGAATATTTAAAATCCTACTCCAAACCCTTTTTCATTTATAATATAATACTCCGAAAAAAAGAAAAAAAAAAAGAAGGTAAAAGAGAAACAGTAAATGGACAAAACTCTCRTGAATATTCTCTATCCCTAGTACCACCCATCCATGCTGTATGATTAATTGTTTGTCCGTACGGACTTTGGTGGATCCTACCCCAATATCAAATTTCATTTAAAAAAAGTAAAAAAACTTTGGTAATTTCAAATCCATTATAGATAGGTACGCATCAATATATTTGATCATCCAAATTGAAATAGATGCTATACCGTTCTTGTTACGAAAGAGGAACTCAAATTGAATTGATCTTAATCGACGAAGCTTAATTATCTTAACRATGTGAAATTAACATYGAAAAAGAAAACCATTGATACAAAGTTAGAGAAAATAATTGCTTTTCATTTTGAGACATATAATACATAAATGTCCCATCATTGATTGTTTTTGAATTATTTGACTAATTTATGACCATTGTCCCACCAAGCATGTAGCAAGTTCCCTTGTACGTGGGTTTCTCTTRATGTGCAATAGTTTATTCAATGCCCTTTCTTTAGGATACATTTATCATCCAAAAAAGAAAAGAAAGGGTTTTGCAACATTAAAAAAATTTAGGAAAATGCATGTTGGGAGTTGACCCTTTTGCCCCAAGTCAGCGTAAAAGAAAAAATAAAATTCTCACGTGARCATAATCCAATCAGTTAAACTTCAGTAACTTTTTYGAAAGATTTTAGAGGTTCAAATCCCCACCTCATTTTTAGTTAAATTCTTTTTAAAGAAATATACGAAWTTATATCCTWAACTTCGTTAAACTTTCACTCATTCATCCACTAAACTCCCATGTTTGATCTAATTATTGGATGTCAAAAAAAGATTTATAAATTTCAGCAATAGTTTTGAGGACAAAATGGTCACATATATTTTGGGCATTGTGTGGATAGATTCTGTAGTGGAAATGGGTCCCTATACCAAGATGAAAACCAATGTGTCTTCCTTTTGCCTTTCAAGATCTTCAAATTTCTCTCTCTTTTTTTTTGTTTTTTGTTCTGTTTTTTTTTTCTTCTATATCATAGTATATGATTGTTCTACCTTATTATCGTATGGACGAATTACAAAAATAACCTCTTCACCATTGATTTGTTATATACATATCTCATAGGTTCACCTACGGCACTTTTTAGCAATGGTAAGAATGTTCCCAGAAAAAGATAGATAAACAAGAAACAAATTTAGTTGTAAAATGCTTAGAATTCGTAGATTTCTTAAGAAAATTATATACAAGAAACAGAAACGTTGGGTGATTTTACCATCTATGTGCGAACATGAAATTAAGATATATATATATATATATATAAAATAAAAATGGGGAGACACGTGCAAGAGTATCTTATATATTAGGTTATAATAAGGGGGAACATGTCAGAAATGTGCAGTCCCCACTCCCCAGCAGCAGCAGCCTCAGCCTGATTGCTGTGGAAAGGCCCCACTTCTTCAACAGATCCAGACTTCCCCTAATCGCCAAATTTGGCCATAAAATATTTTATAAACAATGTTCTCAAAATCAAGCATTTAATTTCTTTCCCTCACACAAACAAACATATATTGCAATAACTGCTGCATCTCTAGCAGAAGCCACAGTGAGATTTTTACACCAAAAACAGGGCTCTTCTTTCAACTGTTTTCCACTTGAATATAAAAACAGAAATGGCCTCGACAATGGAGTTTGCAGAAAAGAAAATTGATTGAGTTGTCTTTTCTTTTCTTTCCTTTTCTTAAATCAAAAAAATTTTGAGGGCTATCCCATTATACGTGCCAAACATGTACATACAACTACACCCTCTCTTCACTGCACTGCACTGCACATATATATGTTGAGAAACTGATGTTTCTAAGGCTCTTAAGAGACAAATAAAACCTCAAAAAGGTCATCAAATCAAATATTTAGGAAGAAGAAAAGAGAAACCTCCATTACAACCCACCCCCCCAAAGGAAACGAAATCTTGCTTTTTTTCCTCTCCTTTCATTCCATTCATTTCTCGTTGGTTTTTGCCACTGCAAAGTGCTGTTTTTTGCCCCTTGTATCTCAAAAGATTCTTCTTTGTGTTTGTTTATTTGCCTTTCCGCTCCCCCATCCAGACCTGACCCCCCAGACAGACAAACTGAACAACCCACATCTGAAGCCATCTCAAATGGAGGACAATTTTCCCACTTCCTCTCTCTCAGCTTCCCAAAATTGTGGGTTCTAGTCCGACCAGCATTCAGACTGTGCCGCTGCTTTCGCTTTTTTTTTAACTTCCATTTCTTCTCAGGCTGCCATAAGATATGATGCCCATTGTTGGCTTCTGGGCAAGAAATTCCGTTTGTAAATCTACAGTCCCAATTCGAAATAAGAGCTGGATGGGTTCCGCTAAGGACAAGGGCCATAATCCTACCCACCTGCGGGTTGTTTTTGCTCCGTCGGTTTCACTTGCACTGCAGCAGTATGCACGTAAGGGAAGCCTGCAGGTACAAGTTGATGAGGGTTGCCAGAGGACTGTGCAGCAGCAAACTGAGCAGGATGGAGAATCGCCTGTGTCGGTAAGCCACCGCCTTTCATGTTGTTAGCTGCAGCAGCAGCAGCAGCAACCGCCTTGGCAGGATCAGTAGTGCTGCTACCTCCAAGCGTAACAGGGTGGCAAAGGGACAACATTCCATTGGAGGACGTTCCTCCCGAGCCCTGCGATTGGGATTGCTGCTCGGGACGACGCCTCTGAAGATAATACCCACTTGCAGGTGAAGCAGTTGCACTGCTGCTTGAATGGGGAACTTGGGCCTGCATATAAGAAGGGAACAGCATCTGGGCTTGCTGCAATGTTTGCTTCGGCAAATGTTGCTGCTGCTGCTGTGGCTGTTGGGACAATTTAGCTCCAGAACTCGAAGTGCTCATTTGATTATTGCCAAGGATTGAAGTAACATTCCTCCCTCCAACGGGAGATGACTTCTGGCTTGGCATAGATGAAGGATTCTTCGCTTGCTGTGATGATAAAGAAGATGATTGACCAACCTTATGACCCATGGAACTGGAAGTAGCGGTCCGAGGGCTCCCACCCGCACCCTTTGAGATTGAAGAATGTGTTGGTGAACCAATCATTCCATGAGATGGAGACTGATTACTGCTTGCAGGCTGCTGCCCTTGTGATTGAGTTGTGGATTTTGAGTTAGCTGCAAAAGAGATCTGAGAGTGGTTCTGCTGTGGGCGACCCTGCTGTTGGGGAAGATTTTTTATGGATGATGTGTTTGATGAAGACAGAGAGGGGGTTGGAACCTGAGAAGATGTGGTTCTCACAGAATTTTTCCACTGAGGAGATTGAGCAGGACTGTTGCTATTACTTTGGACAAGATTTTGAGAAAAAGATGACAAGGCATTGGGAAACTTTGCTGCCATTGAAGACGCAGGAGAATGCTCGGCATAAACATTGCCATTACTTGTTGCTGATGATTTGGTTCTTGCCGCTGCTGCTGCTGCTGCATATTGCTGCTGTTTCTGCAGCTGAATTATCTGTTGCTGTTGCTGCTGATTTCGCTGCAGTTGATGCTGAGAACCACACATATTCACAGCGGTCATAGCGGAGGGCATAACAGAACCCGAAGCTCTAGCAGTAGAACCAAGGTTAAGAGTTCGTGCAGAGCTATCAACAACAGCAGCCCCAGCTGGTATGGTGGAGAGTGATGTCTCAGCTAAATCGTTTCTAGAGAAGGCAATGGACTGTCCAACAGTTGAAGTCTTTACCGACATGTTTTTTCTCTCGTCATCCACAATAGAAGAATGTGCAGTTTTTCCTTCTTCAGCCACACGGTAATTCTTCTTCTGCTGAGCAACCTGAGCAGCAGCAGCAGCAGCCATGATCTGATGGTACCCTTGCCTGGTGATCTCAGGAAGGCTTTGGAAAATAGGATGGTTCGGAGATATGGATGCAAGGTCAAGCCCAGGAGCAGAAGGCGCCCCATTGGGAGCAGCAAACGACACAGCAATAGTTTGAGATGGTTCCAGACCTTTCGAGCCTGACGGCTGTGGTTGTGGCTGCTGTTTCTTGTCATTAGGCCCCCCACCTGCAGCCGCCATTGTGGCAGGAGTCATCAAAGCAAAGTTTGGAGTATGCATCGGCATTGGAAAATTTGGACCATAGACACTCAGGTTAGAAAGAGATACTCGACTATCAGCAGTGGACGGGCTATCTTCACCACCAATCTCAGACTCAAGCTGCCTTGTTTGGTGAGAGGCATGGTTCTGCTGCTGCTGTGGCTGCTGTGATTGAGATGGCTGATTTCTGGAGGAAGGAGGAAAGCCTTGAAAGTTTCCACTGACACTGCTACCATGTGGTGGCCTCTGCTGCTGATTAGATAGATTCTTTTGAGAAGATGAGGAACCATTGGCAGTATTATTAGCATTTTGAAGTCCCTGATGATTAGGATGAGACTGATGTGGTGGCTGCTGCTGCTGAAGCTGTGAAGGATGAAGCATTTGTGAAGAATAAAACGACCCATTGAAAAACGGCATTGAATGAGTGTGGGTTCCTCTATAAGCTGGTGGCGCCCCAACGTGGGCCGGGATTGGATATGTATATCCATTGTTCTGCAAAATGGCCAAATACTGCGGTTCGTTGCCAGGCATATTCGAATAGTTGAAACTCATTGCTGGTGCAGCAATTGCTGCAGCTGCTGAGGTACTAACAGAGGCAGGATTTGGGGCATTTGAAGCAGCATTGCTATTAGCATTCCCACTAGGAGGAGACTTCACAGAAACAGGTCGAGCAGAAGTCGCTACGGCTGCCTGTTGCTGGCTCAAAGGCAGAATGAAAGCAGCAGGCCCATGCTGAAATTCACCAGGAACACAAAATCGTATTCAGCATAGAGCAGAAGAGGGAGGGAAATAAAACTCAGACCATAAAACAAAAAAGTATTTGGAGGGAAAGTTAATAAGTTATACCAAGATATTACTAGGTGCTCCTGGTGGTAGAGCTTGCTGAAGCAAAATTTGCTTTCTCTGAGCAGCATCCACAACGTTAACAGCTTGAGAACCCCTATTATCCTTCCCGGCATGACCCGGAAACATTCCAATACTCTGGCCCTTATCCTGCATTGCATTTGCAGCACTTTTCGGAACATTTCCTTGCAAATCTGCAGAGGGCACAATGCTGAGGCTACCATGCTTGGGTCCAAACAAAGAAGCAGAACCTGCTGCAGCCGGCCAGAATGGATTCATCCTCGCAATTTGCTGATGATACAGTATATTCCGAGCAATGTAGAAATGTGTCGCACACCTCTTCGGCCGAGGTTGAGGGAAAAGCAAATTCGGCGGCTGACAAACCCAAACAAGGAAAGTCTTAAGAATTGTATAGCAAGGGAAAACGGACAGTAGACAAAAGTAAAAAAGAAGTCCCAAGAAACACAGAAATGCCTACCTGCATAGCTGCAGTAGACAAGGTGCTTCCATCAACCGATACAACTCCCGGCAGAGGCGCCACATATCTGTTAAAGACGACATCGTTAATCCCATGAATAGAATAAAAAAGTGACAGACAGCATTATATCGATCCATATAACAGATTGAGCTGACCGTACCCCATAGGAGGCAGTCCGCTCGGCCAGCCAGGTAGAGAAATAGGCAAAGGAAGAGAGCTCGCTTGTGCTGAAGAACAAGATAGTTAAAAAGAACAGCATTCAGTCAGCAGCAACCCCTTTTGAACCAAAACCAGAGAGGGGGACGAGATTTGAAATGGGAACCTACCAGATCCAGCCTTTTCGCAGCCAGGTTGCGGTGGCTGTTTCGGAACATGCTGGTGGAGCTTGTTGGCGCCATCTCTGTCGGTGGTCTTCTCTAAATCAAGCTGAAGATCAATATTCCTATCTTTGCCAACAATGGGTTTCTTTGAATCATTTTCCTCAGGAATTGCTTTGGACTCCACGTTCACCACCTCTTTGTTCCCCCCAAGTCTTGTTGCTCCTTTATCTTCTTCCTTTATCAAAGGCTTCATTTCCTACATTGTCATATACAGTTAAGTCCTCAGTGGGCCATAGCTTTTAAGCAAGTGGAGAGGAGAAGGTAGGGGTGGCCCACTTACCGTGTCCGCATCTATGACCATAGGTTTAGCGTCTACGGCCACAAAATCAATCTCACCATCCCTTTCTGGAGAAGCACGTAATGGGGGAGGAGCCTGTACAGCAGCAACAGAGGAAAAAAAAGTCTTATTTTCATATTAAATTATTAGCAAAAATTGACTGAACGAGTAAAAAATGAAGAACAAGAAGAAGAAGAAGATTATGTTCACCATCAGATCTATCTTGTACTTTTCATCCCGCTGGTTCTCAACATCAAAGCTGGATGAATTTCTGTGGGTATCCCAAAAAAGGAAAAATTTATTAATTTGGGCAACTTTGAAAGAAAATAGGTGAAGTTTTTTTTTTCTTTTTTTTTTTCCTGATGTGCTTACGATTTGGTAGCTGTCATATCCTCTCGCTTATCTTCCAATCTAGAGCCATTTGATTCCTTATGGGGCGGAGATTGAGCTTCTTCCTTACTTGTACCCAAATCTTTGCAGTCCGATTCTTCAGTCAATGGCTTTGAATTGGACACAGCAGTCGTTGTTTCTACCTTCATGGGTTCTGGATGGGACTCCGATGGTGCGGGTACGGCCTGAAAATTACCAGACTCGTTCGAAACTCCTCCATTTTCAGCTGCAGATCCTGGTACTTTTTCTACACTTGGTGAAGGGATCTCGGCGTTGGCAGGCTGATCCGTCTCCGCTTTTGCCGTGGACGAAATGGGGCTATTCCGGAGGCTGAAAGTCGCCGTGTTCTCGTCGTCGTACTTTATATGACGCGGTCTTTTCCTTTTGGGTGCTGCAATTTCACATCGGAAACATAAAATTCGCGTCAGTTTCAAGAACTCGAAAACTAAACAAGAAAAACATTAAAAAAATTAATAATAATACTCACCGGTGGCAGAGATCGGAGCGATAGAAGAGCCAGAATTGTGAGGCAAAATGGAAGGGGCAGGTAAAGCAGAGGAAGAGTTTGAAATCGGCGACGAAACTCTGGATTTCCCATCAGTTGTGGATTTAGGATCGAACTTCATGGAATCAGTGGTGGAAGTTTCTTGTTTCGGAGGACCCTGAGGCTGTCTCATCATTCCGTACAAGACTTCGGCAATCTCGATCTCGATCTCATCCTGCGCCGTGGAAGATGGTTTTGACGACGAGGATTTGGGCGGCCGGAGTTTGGGTCCGGTTTGCTTCTAAAACAACAGACGGGTCTCGTCAGATACCAACTCCCCCAAAAACAGAATCAGAAAAGATATAAACGGAGTAGTAGTAGTAGTAGTAGAAGTAAGACCAAAGACCGACCAGCTTCTTCCTCACCGGAGCATTGGAAGAAGACGGCGAGGCTGGAGGCTGAAGCGTCGCCATTGCCGTAAGATTAGGCCGCACTGGAGATGTCGAAGCCTGCCGGTGAATGGCCGGCTCCGTCACCATTCCGCCGCCCGCTGCTGCCGGCCAGCATTCGTGAGACCTCTTCGTAGAGGCTGAAAGAAACACAAAGGAAACACAAAAAAAGGAGAAGAAATTAAGAAAATCATCAGAATCCCCGTTTTCGACCTAGGGCAGGCAAAAGAGGGGAAATCCCTACCTGACCGGGCTTTTCTCGGCACCGACACTCCAATCATTTCATCGGCGGCCTTCCACGACGGAGCTGGTCTAAAACTCTTGGCCGGCGGAAAACTCTTCCGATGGTTCAAAATCGAGGCCGGATTCGGAGGAAGCATTCTGACGGAGGCTCCACCACCGCCATCGTCGTCTTCGTCGTCATCCTCGTCATTTACACTCTCCTCGGAACTATCTTCTCCTCCATCTTCTCTATTGCTACCACCACCATGAATCAATCTATCAGCTCTCCTCCTCTTGCTCCTGCTCAGCCGATCTCTATCTCTATCGCGGTCCCGATCTCTGTCTCTGTCCCTATCTCGATCTCGATCTTTCTTCCCGCTACCTCGATCTCTCAACCTCACCGTATCCTGTAACTCCAGCGGCCCGTCATCCTCTGCAGAACAAAAAAAAAACCCCAATCAAAATCAAAGACAAAAAAAAGGGGAAGAAAAAAGTTAGATCTGAGAAAATTGAGACCTGGAGAGTCACGAAGACTGCTAGTCCTGTATCTACGTCTAGAGAGGCCGTTGGAAGCGGCCATGGTGGTGGTCCTTCTGGCTTCTCTGTTTCTATCCATATCCGATACGATCCTGAATCAGCTATACCCGAAGACTAATCTCATCTCTTTGTAAAAGAAAAACCTAACTAAAATCGCCGGAAAAAAGGAGAAATCGCCCTCTCCGGCTGGAAACCGGTAGAGAAATGAAAGAAAGGGGAGAAGAAGAAAAAAGATTCCTCCACTATGAACTCTATCTGCAGAAGAAGAAGAAGAAGAAAAAATGGTAGCTTTTCGCTTATCTAAATCTTTGCTTCAATCTCTTTATCTGGAGCTTGTTAGTCCTCCCTCTCTCTCTCTCTCCTCTTTTTCTCTCTCTCTCTCTCTCTCTCTCTCCCTCCCTCACCCCTTTAACTCTGTCCTCTTTCTCGCTCTCCTCCTTTGCTCTATTTCACTAAAGCGAAACCCACACCAGAGCCTCCTGGACGGCCACGATTCACCCTCCCCAAACGCCACTCCATCCCCACCGTCCCTTCCCGACAGATCCACCGGTCACCATTTCACGCCATGCCAACATGGCCAAATCCTAGACGTTGCCTGCGGTGGGACCCCTTTTTTGTCACTAGACAGCCACGTGTCACAGTCTTTTCTTCCCTTCCAAGCTTTCGTATTTACTCGCTACCGCTTTTCTATTTTATTCATTTTTTTCAGTATCCAATAAATTATTAATATTACGAAACCCCCAAACCAAAAAAAAGGAAAAAATTAGAACTCAGATATAGTGATGAGAGAGAGAGAGATGTAGGGCACGATCGTAGTTCAAGGGGTGCTTGAATTTTTCCAAAAGATGTGATGACTGGCTATAGCCGGTAGCGAAGACGTCGGTAAAAGCAACACGACGATCGCAAGGAATCTAGGTGGCCTCAGAAAATATCGTTCCAACCGGTCAAGTTCATTATTCGGTTCCACGTTTTCATTTTTATTTTTATTTTTATTTTGCCTTTAAATTGTCGATATTTCGAGAATTGATTAGTGGGGGCCACGTGAAAAGCACTCCCTGTTGGTGAAAATTAACCGTCCCGATCTCTTTTATCTCCCTAATCACCCACTGTTTCCACCGTTGGATCATTGTCTGACGTAGCCACCTTGTCCCTATAAACAAATAATAAATAAATAAATAACCACTGATTCCACAGTTCAATCGACGCCGAGCTGGCACCGAACCAAACAGGCCCCTCCGTGTCGATCAGCGCGCCGTTTCTCGACCGTCCGATCCCTTCCATCGCACGGCCCTCCTGTGAGTAGAGACGGGGAGGAAACTCAGAGTCACGGTCGCGGAATTTCCGAGAACCGTGGGTCCCACTTGTGCGCTGCCTATTATATTAATAATTTCCTTCCCTCCCTTGGCCTATTGTCACGTTCGCGTTATGTGGCAGCATAAGCTGACGTGGCCCTCGGTCCCACTTTTTTTATTTTATATTTTTCTTCTTCTCTCTGTATATCTCTCTCTCTCTCCTGCCGCGGTCAAATTTCGGTGTTCACTATTCACTCCCACAGTAATTAATAAATTATTAAACCCTAAAAAAAAAGGAAAAACACCAACCAACCAAGCCCATAAGCGGGAGTCTGAGCAATTACTCCTGCTACGTGTCAGCGCGTGATTGGTTACATCCTATCCGCTTACTGCATAAGCACCCACCTCGGATCTTCATCCATTTCCCGTGCTCACATGCGGGTAAATAACTAAATATCTAATACAATATCGCAGCACCGATAACCCCACCCGTCTGTCACGCAAGCCACTCCCACAGCCCGGTACGCTCCCACCACGTGGACAGATGCTCAAGATTTTGGAGGTGAAATTATCATGGCTGAATAAAAAAACAATATTTGGTGTAAGCCGAGAGCTGCCACGTAGGAAAGAGTAGACCCCACCAGAGAAGGGTAATCTGGGCCCACCATTATCTTTCCCCCATCGCCGATTTGTCGGTTAGCAAAAGAGGAAAGGGAGGAGTTTTCCTTTTTATTTATTTATTTATTATTATCATCTTATTTTATTGATTTGGGGGAAAAAGAAATGCCACGTGTAAATAGCATGTGAGAAATGATAGCACCTCCGTGGCAATCTTTATAACCGTATGCGTAACCCTAGCCGTCACCACCAAGCTCCTCCCCTCCAGTAATTGGCATCCATGTTTTTGCCTTTCTGCAAACCCCAAAAAAAACAAAATTTTTACACATTCTGACAATTCTTATTATTTTATTTATTTATGTTCCCTTTTCTTTTTCTTTTTTTAAATAGTATTCGCCATCGCATTATTATAATCAAATCACACGCTCCATTCAACTTTTTTAAATAAATATCCCTCCTAATACAAATTTAACGAATATGCTTCTTTTTATTTTTTCCACCTAATACAAGACAAGATTTTAACTTAAAGATTGTATTTTATAATAAAATAATATTAATATACTTTCAATGAGGAGATATGTGTGTATTTAAAATCTAGGTTGGATTTTTAAAACATTTAAAGAATGCAGAATGAACCGAATATGTTTTATTTTTCTTTATATGGTAAATATATCTGGATGATAAATTTCTAGAACCAAATTCCAGAATAGCTATTAACTTCGTTTTGAGTATTTTAAATGATTGAGTATTTTAAATGATATGTACATGTACAAATTACCGGGCGTGAAGAATACGAATAATTCTTTAATGATCTATAACGACACATGAAGTTATTTTTTAACTATATAACAAACAAGACCTTTAATTTTAAAAATTAGAATTTTAAAATATTTTGAATGATTAAATATAATAAGATGTTTGGATCAATATTTTAATAAGTAGATATAAACAACTATATCATTTAATATAGTAAATATAAACAACTATATCATTTAATATGAGTCTTATACACATGACGCGTTGACATTTTCATCGACATGTCCATGTTTTCATAGGTTCGACATCGACATTTCCATCATAGTATAAAAAATATCAACAAAATGTCACTAATATATACATTATATTAATATTGATTATTTTTTAACTTGTTTAGAAATATGAAGATGTTTATTTGTTAATTTAAATATTTTTTTACAATTTTTTAATTTCTATAACTTTTACATAAATATTCATCAACATCGACATTTTATTGATATTTCCATCAATATTTCCATAAAATTGACATTGACAGTTAAAACCTTGCTTATACGTCAATCATGTCACATCATGAGATAAAGAAAATGAAAGCAAAATAGCAACCACTAAAACTATTATTGATATTAACCAAATAAGAATGAAGAATATACCCTTTAAATAAAACAACTTAGTGAAATTTTTAAAATAGGAAAATAAGTGTCAGTTAAAATTTGTTTGACATTTTGCAAGTTGCTAAAATGAATATTTTGTCTTTATTTTTCCATTTATGATAAGATGACTTGTATTTGAAATCACCATTCACACAATCCCATAATTTTATTCGAAATGATCACTTCCATATTTTTTTTTTAAAATTTTAATTCGATAATATAATATAAGGCAAATAAATTTTTAAAATTAAAAAAAATGGATATTTAAAAAGTTGCCAATTAAATATCACCTTAGTCAATAACATAGCGAAAGAAAAGGAGGGAAGAGGCGATTCTCTCCGCTTTATCTTAAAGTAAAACATTTAAGAAAAGACAAATGAATTAAGATTTAAAAGTCACTCATTTGTGCCTCAAAAAAAAAAAAAACCCTTATTTGCCCCTCTTTTTTTCAAATATTATTTTCATCTCTAATTTGAATTTTGATTTAGTTTTATTCTTATACTTTCAAAGTATTTTTAAATTTTATTCATTTTAATCTTTATATTTTCAAAACGTTTATTTTCGTTCATGTACTTTTAAAAGTGTTCAGTTTGGTTCGTATTTATAATATTTTAATATAAATTTCATACACAACAAAAATATTTTAATACAAATTTATGTCTACGTCTCAAGAATTTTACGAGTGAAGCATTATGGTATAATTGTGATTGAAAGAAATGAGATAAAAATAAAATTGAATGGACCAAAATTGTAACTTTTTTTTTAAGTATAGGAATCAAAACGGACGTTTCAAAAATACACGAATTAAAATGAACAAAAGTTGAGAATAGAGGAATCAAAATAAACATTTTGAAAGTATAAAAATCAAAATGAACTAAAATTAAAAGTAAAAAATTAGAATAGTATGTAAACTTAGATATTATATATGTTTATATAATGTAGTTTTCCTCTTTCGCTATAAAAAGAAAAATTGTAATTCTATATTTGACTTATGCTAATATTGTGATAGTGCTAAATGTTAAGGATCCCACATTGATAAAATAAGGGACCTTACATACGTTTATAATAGACATGTGCTACTCCTTTCATTGTCAATTTGTTTTGAGATGGAACCCATGAATATTAATATGGTATCATAATTCAGAAAAAGCTCAAACGAACATCCAATCCGAAAAATGGGTTTATATAGACTACAAATATAATATAATTTTTAAATATATTTTTGTGTTTAAAAAATATGAAATTATTTTTTGGAAAATAAGTAACTCGAAATACTCCCCAAACGTTTTCAACAAGATCAATGTTAGACTGAAACTTTTGTTAATAACCCAGCATTTTTCATTTTTTGTTATGAAAAAAAAAAAAAAGAAAACTCGACAATAGATTGGAAACAGCTGAGAATCAATATTACAATAATAATACAATTGTTGTTACATGATATGATACTCCACATAATTTTGAGCTACCATAAAGAAGCAAAATTAATTATAATAAAAAGAACTATTTCATAAATGTTGAATAAAAAAATAGAATAAATTAATAAATTAAGTTTATTTATACACAAATATATATGTGTGAGGAGTAGAGGAGTAATGGTGGGGTGGCAAGCAGGGGATCGTGTGGACATAGATTTGCAACGTGCTCAAAAGGGTCCACCGGATCAAAATTTTGGTTGGCATTTTTGACCGTCCAAATTTGTGGGGGCTCAATTTATATTGTATTGTAAAATTTATAAAATTTAAATTTAAATTTAAAAAAGCCTACGGATTTCATATTACCTTTTCATCTTAAATCTATTTTTCTTTGTTTTTGTTGGTAAGAGCATAACTTAGCAGTAAAATCATGTAATTCGGAGCAGAAAACTATAAATAGAGAGTCTCACATCCGCATAATCTTCATATTTAGGTCGTCAAATTTAAACTGACTCAAGCGTTGGAGTGTTTGTCTCTCCTATGCAAGTCTTTCCTTGCCAATGACATTCGAGCTCTCCCAGTTGGCATATATTGACCAAGTCTGGCTTTGACCGACTTTGTTGCACAAACAAATTCTAGGTCACCTAGTCGAAAATTACTCCAAGTCAATCACGCT